ATCAGGACTTACCTTGGAGACAGTGGTGGACAGAATATAGTTCTTATGTTCATAGGGCTCATAGGCCAGCAGGAAAAGTAGACAGGCAGGTGTAACAGAGTTTGATGAGTACTAAGGGGGAAAGAAATGACAGGATGCTATGGTAGTACATTAGTGGATCATTTGATCTTGGAAGTTCAGGAAAGGTTTTCTTAAGAATGTGATATCCAATGGGCACCTGGGTGGCTCAGTCGGTTAAGTGTCCAACTCTTGATTTCGGCTCAGGACATGGTCTTGGTGTCATGAGACTGAACCGCATGTGGGCTCTGCACTCAATGGGAAGTCTACTTGAGATTCTCTCTCTCTGTCCGCCCCCCCCCCCCACTCTCTCTAAAATAAATAAATAAACCTTTTTAAAATAGAATGTGATATCTAAGTCAAGGAGTCAGATTTTGATTATGTGATATGAATTATCAGAAGAACTTGAACAGCTTCAGAGAAGCGCTGGTGCTGTTACAGCTAAAGCAGCCGCAGGAGGTTTTGAGTCACTGGAGTGTATCGTATGTGGATATAAGGGAGAGAGATGATGTGGAAAGGTAATAGCAAAATCATGAAAGTTGACTTTACCTTGTGGGCAGTGGATGTCCTTGGAAATGTTACTTAGCGAATTTAGGGATAAAGGAGCGAACACTGACTGAATGCCCAGTTGATATAGGGTACCTTAATGAGTATCTCTGATTAAAGGTTGTATGTCCTAGTAGTAAGATAATGAAGGCTGGTGGATTGAATTGCTAGAGTTCAAAGCTAAGCTCTACCACTTAGTGGTTTATGATTTTGTGTACTTAATTGCTTAATCTCTCTGAGCCTCAGTTTCCTCATTTATATATGAGCATAATAATAGTACCTAACAGAGTACTACATGTGGAATAAAGTAATACCTGTAAAATCCTTGTTACAGAGCCTGACACATATATCAATAAATCAAAAATATTAATTTCTATTCTATTTATTGCTCAAGGTCACATGGTAAGGATAATTTTGAGCTAAAACTTTAAGGGTTTATCCTAATCTAAAGCCCATAAATTTTTTACTATCTTATATCTGCTTTGAAGTTGTTTTCACATACAGAAAATGAAGAGCAGTAACAAATTATTTCAGGAGGTTATTGGTGAAGATTAATATATGCAAAAGTGCTTTATACGTAAGATTTTTTTTTTATTTCAAAGTGGTTTGCTTCAGATTTTATTTCATCTACCAGACTGGAAATGCTTGTATAGTACTGTTCACATGGTTAAGAGCATGGACTTTAAAGCAAAACTATCTGTGGGGCGCCTGGGTGGCTCAGTCGATTAATCATCCAACTCTTAATTTCAACTCAGGTCATGATCTCAGGGTCGTGAGATTGAGCCCTGTGTCAGACTCTGCACTGGGTGTGGAGCCTGCTTAAGATTCTCTCTCTCCCTCTGCCTTTGCCCCTTCCCTATCCCCCCCTTCCCCTTGCTCTTGTTTTCTCTCTCTCTTTAAAAAAAAGAAAAAAAAAAGCAAAACTATGTGGATTCAAATCCCAGCCCCATTTGGGGAAAATTATTCATTTCTCTGGCATAACAACAGCAGCAGCAACAACAAAAACATGTAGTCCATGGGTACATATTAAATGAGTAAATATGTGTAAACAAATAGAAGATTGACTGGCCTATAGTATATATTGTAACTGTTGATTGCATATTATTATTAAATATCATTATTGTTATATGGCCCACAATAATTCTTATAGTACTTTGTACCTATTTGGTGACCAATTTTTTTTTTAATTAATAAAATAAATTCTACCTCTTCTACATTTTTACTTTGTTGTTGTTGTTTTTTTTAAAGATTTTATTTATTTATTTGACAGAGAGAGACAGTGAGAGAGGGAACACAAGCAGGGGGAGTGGGAGGGGGAGAAGCAGGCTTCTGGCTGAGCAGGGAGCCCGATGTGGGGCTTGATCCCAGGACCCTGGGATCATGACCTGAGCTGAAGGCAGACACTTAATGACTGAGCCACCCAAGTGCCCCTTTTACTTTGTTTTTTAAGAAATTAACAGTTATTAATGGTCACAGCAAATGAGGCTCAGCCATACCATGCTCCTGACTATGCCTCTCTTCCAGACTCTAGAATTTGAATGAGACAGCTGGTGAAAGGCTACAGATCATTCCTAATAATAGCACATCTGTTGAGAATTTCAGCAAAAGATTAGATGGGTGACCGGTAAGCAATTTGTAGGGGTTGAGTGATTTGTATTTTCTCTGGCAGGATGTGTTAAATATGGAGCAAGCACATAAACAACCCATTTATTTACCTTGTAATACGTGTTTAAGGGAAAACCTTATTTTTGGACTTTAAGTATTCATCAATGTTTGTAGACTGGAAGTCCTCAATTCCAGAAACTTCCTGGTGTGTGTGTGTGTGTGTGTGTGTGTACATGCACATGCTCATGTTTATGTTTGGACAGATGTGAGACCATAGCTTCCAGTCTGGAGGAATCTGGTCATGCAGGTCTAGCCTCCATCAACTTCTGTAATTTTGCCATGTATGTATGTTTGTAGTTGTGGTCATCTGTAGCTTGCCGGTGCCCAGAATTTCCTCCCGGGAATGATTTAACATTAGCACTTAAATTTTATGTTAACTCCAGAGTTTCCAGGGCTCTCAAGAGTCACTTTGTGGTCCCTTGGATTGGAACATCATAGCTTAGTTCTTTTCTGGTTCCAATGACTTAGTTGTAAGTTTAGATGTTCAGTGTCATCCTGGAGAAGATGTACTTAATCACTGTTAGACCGTGGACCACTTTGAGAATTAGATAACATTATGAACTTTGCCCCCAGATAAACGTGTTAACTGAAACTCACACTAAATTTGCCTTGAAATGTCAAGGTTTCAAAGATCCTTGAGGTACATCTACAGACTCCTCAATTAAGAGATCCACTTGCATTCAAATGGCTTTATTGTGCAAGAAACAAAAAATTAAATGTGATATGGACATAAAATGTGAGGGGAGAAGAGAAAGGAGCCAAATCCATCAAAATTACATTCTCTCTTGAATGAAGGTAGATGAGTGACCAAAGGAGAGTTTAGAGTAGTCATTTAGCTTCATCAAGACCTATAAAAAATGATGACAGTTTAGGAATTTAGTTCATAGTATGCTAACAGTTCTCATGTACAATTTTATTTAGCTTAAATGATTTGTCTCTTATGTCTATATCCAAGGATTTTATCAAATTAAATATTTAAATTTAAATATTTAAAATTGGCTTATAGTAACTGAAAATAATTGACTTCACCTAATATTTACACCAAGACAATGTCCTTAACATGCTTCTTTATAAGTAATATTATATACTGGTTTTAACTTAGAAATCTGGGTTCATGAATTTTGAACAATTGTAACTATTGAAATAATTATTATTTCGTTAAAAACATAATCATGTAGCATTTTGAATCAATATAATATATAACTGTACTACTTGTTTTCATGTTGTCTCCATTAATTTTCTCATTTTGTTTTCTAAATTTTAATAAGTCCAAAGTTTACCCAGCATCTTATCTTCTTTTTCTTACCATATGTCCTATTAAAGAGCAACTAAATAATACAATTTATTGATACATTGATCTAAGGAAAACATAGTGAATTTTCTGTTTTTCTGTATATTAGACAGTCTATATAGAAATAGATAGCAGAGTAATTACACTTTACTATCTGAAACCAGACAAGTTTGGTTTGGTTCCCAGTTTTGAACTTCTGAGCTGTGGTAATTTACTTAAGATTCATGGGCCTGTTATTTTTCTTTTGTGAATTGAAGATAGTAATATAATCTGTTCCATATGGTTGCTATAGGAATAATCTGAGATAACTATATAAAGTTTTTATCATTTAGTTAGGACAGGGTATTGTTTAAAAATACATTTTAGCATTTACTGATTTTATTTTTCTAATACAGTTGGCGGACTGATCAGTTTTTACAATCTTTTCACAATATGCATTGTCATTTTATAGAAACCAAAATTACAAGAAAATGAAAGTTCAGAAAGGGTAATGACTTGTCTAAAGTCACAAGATGGAAGAAACAGCCCTCTGGTCTAACGCTGGTCTAACGCTATTCCTCTTATATCACAGGTCACTGTGTTGTATTTCAGATTATATAATATATAGACAGGTTGATGCACTGAAAATATTTATTGCGAAGAAACTCAAAATTTTCTATTTTATTGATCTTTCCCTTTAATTTCTTTCCGTAAGTTTCAGGTTATTTTAGACTCTGCCATTATTCATGATCCAAATAATAAATGGAAGTGTTGGCATCACATTTAAGGTTCTGAAAGTATTTTTAAAAAGATTCTGAAAGTATTTTTTTAGTATGTATGTGCTTTTAAAATTAAGAATTACAATTCTTCCGTGGGTTCTCCTTAGAATACAAGAGATTTTGAGTGCTTAAACTTCATGGATCCTTTCAGAAATGATGTCTGAAATAAAGAAATGCGTGGGAAATGTATTTCCTCTTGCTTGATTCAGGGCAAAATTAGAGTGCAAGAACACAGTTAAATGTTTAAAATGTATTTAAACTCATATTCTATATAAATGTTCTCAGAACATTTATTTTTGAGATAAGAAAAATCACAAGTTTAACAGAGTATTTCACTCTACTTTCTCTGTGTATAAATAGGAATGAAATAAAACTAGTAGATTCAAGGAGTGTTTTGATTGTTGAAATAAGGTTTGATAATAACATCTCCAATTTTTCTGCATTTTGTAAAATAAGATATTTCATTTCTTATTGGAACAGAATCTAGTATATCAATGCTATGGCATTATCAAATTAAAATTATAATGAACCCATTTTGCCTGCTCTTATAACAGGCTTAATTTATCTATTATACTAGTTTAAGTATTATGATTATACCGATAAATCCAGGAATCTTGTCTGTACTATTTATTTTTGTCTTTTGCTCACTCACCTGTGTTGTCTTTGATGTTTCTTCAGAGTTTTTAGACCATAGGTGAAGTAACAGGAACTGTGGTAGTCTCAGGTGTGCTTGTGATGGTGAATTCTGTGAAAGCCTCTGAAGTGACTACAGTGTCCACTCTTGGTTCAGTGGTAGGAATAAGTGTAGGCTCAGCAGTAACAATGGTATTGATGGCAGGGATGCCTGTCTTATCCTGAATTTTCTTTGCGGGGGTGGCAACAAATGATGGATGTAGGTGTGGGCCATGTACCACGGTGGGTGGGTAGGCATTTGTCAGGACTTGCCATTGAGGAATTTGGGCATGTGGCCTAACTGCAACTGGTTTTGCATAATATGGATAAGGCACATATTGATTAATTGGTACAGCTGGTCTATGTGGGTAATAAGTGTGTTCATAGAGAGGATAGTTATTCAGCACATAATGAAATGGGATATACTTGGCAGTTTTCTGATTGAATGGTCTTTCATCATTTTCATGGCACTGTAAAAAGAATACGTTATGCACATGGTATTATTGTAGGCTAGAATGTAGAGATATCTTAAATCAGAACTTTTTAAAGTATATATTTTAGTGTTTGACATTGAATAACTACAGTATTGGAAATAGTGAACTCAGCAACCATATTATTTTATAAGATCCAGATTTGTACACTTCCCTTCTCCTTTTTGATTTTCAACAAATATTAAAAATAATATTAATTTCAAACAAATTAGATGAAGTAATCCATAATATAAAACCACGTTGCCTAGGTCTTGGCATAGATGAAAAGCACTCAGTAAATGTGGGACATTATAATAAGTACAATAGCTGGAAAAATCTCATAAAGAGCTTTAATATACTGTGTGCAAACTTAGCACACACACATAGGAATATATGTGCATATATAAATATTTTCATATATTTGTGTATATGTATATATGTATTCTTACCACATATTTGTAAATGTTTACAAATTTTATTTAGAGACTAGGCTGAGGGCACATTTATTATTTTTTTTTCTAAATTAATTATAGCAGAATAGTAAAATAATGTATGTGGGAGGATTCCTGGATTTATACTTTGGATTCTTTTCAGCTTCATTTTATTCATTAAAGATCAGTTAGGGAATTTCCCATTTTTATTTGTCTCTGTTGCTTATGTGCATTTATAAAAATATGTCATTAGATCTTTCCATATGAGTAAAACAAAGCAACAAAATTACCCTGCAAAGCAAGTATTTCTCATGAAAGGAGACGTATTTAAATGTGTTCATTCAAACATATTTGGGGAACAAAAAGAGGAAGTAAATGCAAATGTATGAGAAGTATTCAAAGGTGGGTCAGAGAGGGATCTTTCCCCATGTCTTCAGTCAGGAGAGATACTAAACCTTACATTTGTTTTCCTTTATTCTCAATATTAAACTCTGAGACAGTTTTCTCATGCTGCAAAATATACCTGAAAACCCAAAACACATGACTTGGGTTATAAAAAGAATCCAAGATTTTCAGATGAATATTGAGGTTGATTCGTATGATTGGTTGCTAAAGTGGTATTTTTTTCAAAGATTATTAGATTATTTTATGGGGTTTATTTATTAATTTTTAGACAGAAGGCATTTAAATATCATTGGACTTTGCATAATATTATACTTTAGAGTTCATGTCTCTACTAGAAATAATGAAAATAAACTTACAGTTGGTTGTTCCTGGTTTTGCACCTCTGCACCCTGCTGAGGTTCACAGAAATAAGAAATAAGTTAAAAAAAAACATTGGGTAGAGTCCAGATTTTTTTTGTGGTTTTAAAAATATTTTGTACTAAAGACAAAACATGGTTTCTTTGTTTTTATTTTAATATTGTAAAATATTGTAAATCATTCTCCATGGTTATTTAATCTATAAGGCCTATGAATCACTCAAGAAGTGACAGCAATAAACTATTTAAAATCTTTAAAATCACCACTGGGGAGAAGAAGAATTTAAGGTTGAAAACATATGATCATCTGACTCCTATGCCAACAAGTATACATGATATTTGCTTAAATGAAAAATATGAATAACCTATATTCAGTTTGTATTGAATGTACATTGGGTTTTTTGTTTGTTTTTTGAATGTACATTGTTAAAAATAAGAGGAGCATTGAGTATATTTTTTTTCTGCTCTCCTACCAAGAAGATATATGAGGTTTATCTAGATTTTAAAAAATTGCCTTTCACATAACATTAGTATATAAATATTATATGATAATAGTGTTTTTTTAATCAACTTTCATTTGTTTTTATGATACTTTTCTTAATTCTGGATTGCAGCATGTATAGGGAATCAGAAGTGAGAAAACAATTTCCATGAGCATATATATAAAGCTTTAAAAACTCACAAAGGTTTTATAAAGTTTTGAGATGAGGTCGTAATGATTTGGAAAACAAAAGGAAAAGAAAAATTATTAAATTTTCTTACTACTTACAGCCCACTGACAAGTCCTTGAAACAGGCAGAGTGACATTCCTCTAGGGACTCAACTGCCTCAATGTTGACATTTTGCTAAGGGCAAAAGGCAATCTTAGCCTGACCCCCAGGATCCTGTAAGTCTACTTTAACATATAAAAATTCCTTTGGAAACTTCCTTTATCTCCACCCCCCAAGATACATGTTGGCAGTCATCCCCCAAGCATATGACACACCGATATACATCTAAAGGGTCTCATGACTAAGGTTTTATTAGACAGTAATAAATGACCTTTTCCCAACAATAGCTAGCCCCCTCAAGGTCCTGGGAACCTTGCTTCCAAAATTCCTTATAGACTTACACTATCCCTAACCCCCTCCCAACTTGAAAGTATATAATGGGCCACTCTTCATGACCCCAGTGCAGTTCTTTCTGCCCACAGGTCCTGTCCCTATGCTTTAATAAAGCCATCTTTTTGCACTAAAGACATCTCAAGAATTCTTTCTTGGCCATCGGCTTCGAACCCTAATGTCTTTACTACATCAATAACATTAAGTGATATTTTTTAAGTGATCTAGTTTAGGACTTTTCACACGTACCCTTTGGGTATAAAAAGACTCTAGAAACGTTTTGGAAGATGTAGGTAAAGAAAGTCAGAAATTTGATAAAATAATAAAATTCAGGATATGTTGAGATAGAGGATTCTTTGCTCTAAATGTATTATATTACTAATTTAAAATTTAAAAAGTCATAGAAATATTATAGAAAGTTTGCCTACACTCAAAAATTCTGATAATCTAGACATCTTCATATAATATCAATTTGTACATATGTTCCTGGTATATGTTCATTTTAGTGCATTTCTTATATCTTGCTTTTTTTCAAGAAGCATGATCTCATATTATTTTTCAATTTATCTCATAGTTTTTATACATGGATAGTTATAGTTGAAAAATGAATGCTTAATGATTATGTCATGAAATGTTTATTCTTTATTGCTAACCATTAAGCTTCTTTCAAAAAACTGTTTTATTATAAATAGATAGATGAATAACATCTGTATACCAGTATCCTTTTTAATAGTTTTCATAGATTCCTTAAGATAGTTTTTAAAAAATGTAACTTTTGGGGGGACAAAAATTATTTGATAGGAATTATCAGATTGCTGTACAGAAAAGTGCCAACTTACAATGCCACCAATAGGCTATAAGAGTGTGCAACTCATCACATAATTGTTAGTAGTTAATATTATCCTGACTATATTTAGAGAGAAGGGATAAATTAACACATAAAAGATATGATCACGATATATGTATAATTTTGACTACTCATAAGATTGAATGGTAAATCTATAAACTTTTATTCTTCTTTTGAATTATTTGTTCATGTCCCTGGGACTTGAAGCCTTTGTGAAAATGGGAAGGAGTGTTTGGGATCTAGTTGCTTAAGTTGCTCAGGAAGAGGTTTCCATAGAGCAGGCAGCTGTGGATCATGTGATACTGCGATTTATAAGAAATACATATTTGGTCTTCATTCTAGTTTCTGGCACAGTTCTCCTAAAACGCTTGTAATTTCCTAACTGATGGGAGTGCATTGGGGAAGAAGGTATCTTTTATTATGTTAAAATTACCTTTTATTATGTTATTTGGACCCCACCTAAGGATGGGGGCTGGTTGCCAGAGAAACCAACCACTTGATTTGAAGGTTGGGACTTTTAGTCCCACCCCCTGATCCTCCAGGGACAGGAAAGGGCCTGGAGGTTGAATTGGTTACCAGTGGTCAGTAAGTTATCCCTGTGTAATGAAGCCTCCATAAAAGCCCAAAAGGATGAGTTGAGAGAGCTTCCAGTTTGGTGAACACATGGACAATCGGGGAGAGTGACTTTCCTGGAGAGGGCATGGGAGCTATGCCCCTCTTCCCACATACCTTACTCTAAGCATCTCTTCCATCTGACTGTTCCTGAGTTCTATCCTTTTATGATAAACTGGTAATCTAGTAAGTAAAACATTTCCTGAGTTCTGTAAGCTACTCTAGCTAATTAACCAAACCCAAGGAGGAGGTTGTAGGAATTTCCCATCTATAGCCAGTCTTCAGAACTACAGGTAACAGCCTAGGCTTGCAACTAGTGTCTGAAGTGGGAGGTATTGTAGGTCTGAACACTTAACCTGTGGAATTTGACCCTATCTCTGGGAAGATAATGTCAGAATTGAGTTGAATTTTTCAACACTCTGGTGGTGTCCAAAAATTACTTAGTGTTGTGTGAGAACCGCCCCCCCTGCCCAATGCATATTGGAATTGTGTCCAGGAACCTAAAATAAGAATTTTCTTATTTAAATTTTAATCCCTGCCCTTCAAAGAGAAAATCCAAGTTTGGAATGTTCTGGTGGCCACAATAAAATGGAATTTCAAAGAATAAATGAAAGAAAATAAATGTGAAAGTCGTAATAAAGCAAATTTTTAAAGAGTTTGACTCTAAGAATTTACCTAATAGAATTATTTAATAGATATTAACTTAAAAGCAAGTTTAGTAATGAATTATGAAACAAGGACTAGTGCCTTCCAAAATTTATAACCTAAGAAATGATCATATAACATCTTCTGTTTGTCTTCTTGCTCTTGCTGTTGGCAAGGGATCCTTGAATGAACAAGAAAATGAAACAGAGCAAAAGCCAAAACAACAATGAAAGCAAGTAAAAAAAAAAAAAAAATCAAAAGAAAAAAGCCAAACCTTTTTCCTTGGTCCTATAGCTTTAACATACAGCATGCAATTCAAGAAAATTCCTGAAAACCATAGAATTGGATACTATTCCTGGGGAGGAGTCAGTTGACATTAATGGGAAGAGTATAACAAAAGACACAATGATGTTTGAATATTAAAGGTAAATGTGTCAAGGTCTTTGATACTGGTGGAAAATCTTTAACCAAACTCCTTAAGTTTTAAGGATTCAGTCCTTGTGCTTGCTTCGGCAGCAAATATACTAAGAATTTAGTCCTTAAAGAAAATGGATCTGTGTAAGATAGGAATTTAATTAAAGGGATTTCTGATCCTGAACTATGATTTATGTATTTATTCTTTAGGAATTATTTTTAGAGCATTTTATAATCTAAAAATATTTCTACTATTGCTTTTTCCCCCAGAATGTATTTTCTGTATAGTGTGAGAATTTTAAGGGTTTTTCATATACAATAAAGTGTGATTTCTTAATTCCTGAGAGCTAAAAGCATATACAGAAGAACATGACTTTAATTTTGTAATATAAAATAAATAAAAAATAAGTTGCTTTTAAAAAATATAGCTAGTATGCAATTATTTTGTCCTATGGAGTGTAACTGCACTTAGAAATTTGCATAATTAGAACTTTTAAATAAAATTTTCTTAAAGTCTTACTACAAATTGATTAGATGAAATTAACTCACCAAAAATGGCAAGGCTAATGCAACGATTTTCACAACTAGGAAAAAACTCTTCATCATTGCACCTAAAAAAAAAAAAAATTAAATTAAAAAGCTCTTTTATAATTTAGAAATGATTTGGGACAATTTCTGTTTGTTTGGGTTTTTTTGCTTTAAGGGAAAAAAGAGCTAGATTTATGGGTAGGTTTAGCCAATGTGGAAAATCTATTTTATCTTAAGCTTTAGAAAAACCAAACTTGAGATTTTCAGGGATACAAGCTTTACCAACACTAGCATCAGTTTTAGGAAGAGAGTTACAACATACACAAATCAGTGTAAGAGGAAAGAAAGTAGAAAATGCCACAAGTGTTTTTTTGCAGATAGAAGGTTTCAGTTAAGAGAATCATCAAATTCTTTGTGAAGGAGATGGCATATAGATAGGATTTGTCCATGGAGAGATAAATAGGGACAAAAACTTCCCAAATAGAGGAGAGGAGAGAGAAGAGAGGAGAGAAAGGAGAGGAGAGAGAGGTGAGAGAGGAAAGGAGAGAGAAGAGAGGAGAGGAGGGAGGGGAGGGGAGAGGACAGGAGAGGAGGGGAGGGGAGAGGACAGGAGAGGAGAGGAGAGGACAAGAGAGGAGAGGAGAGGAGAGGACAGGAGAGCAGAGGAGAAAGCCTTGGGAATATCCATGGACATTTTGAATGGAGTAGTGTTTTATAAGAAGGGAAGGATAAAGTTGAAAAGACAGTTTAGGGCAGCAAAAGGAGAGGTCTTGAATGCCAGGTGAAAGAGTTGGGCCTGGTTTTGTAAATAACAGAAACTAGTTGAATGGTTTTAGATTGGAGAGTGTTGTGACTATACATTCCTTTGGAGGACTGTGTTCTAGCCCAGTCCCTATCTCTGCTTGTTTAACTTTGGCCAAGTAATTTCCCTTGCCTGGACTTTCTCTTTCTAAACTATAAAATGAAAGTTTAACTTAGTGATTTCTAAAATTCTGTAATTCCATGATCAATCTAATGGGAACATGTAAGATGGAGGGAAGGGGGTGGATCCTAAAACTGCATTCTTTATAATATACTTCTGTAGTAATCATAAATGATATTATTGATTGTTTTCATAAGAAATACAGATATGGCAATTACAGTGGTTTTGAATATATATATAAAAAAATTAGCCTTATCCTTATAAAGGAATATAGGGTTGTCACATCTGCTTATTTGACTCTTTTTTATTTTATTTTTTAAAGATTTTATTTATTTGACAGAGAGAGACACAGCGAGAGAGGGAACACAAGCAGGGGGAGTGGGAGAGGGAGAAGCAGGCTTCCCGCTGAGCGGGGAGCCCGATGCGGGGCTCGATCCCAGGACCCTGGTATCATGACCTGAGCCGAAGGCAGACGCTTAACGACCGAGCCACACAGGCGCCCCGCTCCTGACTCTTTTTTAAATAAATTACCTTTTTAGAAAGATTCATGTAACACTTCAAACCTTTAATATTTAAACACATATTGTATTTGTGAAGCAAGTACTAACTACATCTTGTTACAGCTCCTGTTATTGCCATACTTGTAATAGACTTGAGTCCTACAGACAGTTTTACAAAAGAGGGTCACAGAGTTAAAACCCAGGTTTGGACAGGGGAAGAACATCAGATTCTATTTGCCTCCATTCCCAGGTAATAATGATTAAGAAGGCTGTCTACTAAACTGACTTCAAAGCTGTTGATGGGATATCAGTGGATAGAAAAGAATTCTTATGGAATCAAATCTGTACAACTTACAGCAAACTCAAATTTCATTGATTATTAATTCTTTACTTGTCAGTTAACTTCTTTATTGAAATATATTTGACATATAACACTATAAATTTAAGGTATACAACATGTTGATTTGATACATTTATATATTGTAATATGATTGCCATTATAGTGATAATTAATACCTCTATCATGTCCTATAGTTACTATTTCTTTTTTTGGGGGGGGTTGGAATGATTAAGATCTAGTCTTAGCAAGTATCATCAATATAGACAACAATACTGTATTATAATCATCAGATTATAAGATTAAAAGTTTTTAAAATTATAGACTGAAAAATAAATTTCTATGGTGAATAGGACTCCTGTTTAATTCTCACAAAATTATAACACACACACAGGCATATGCACATACACAAAACATTCTGTAAAATGATAATAATTCCTTCCTTTTTAGCATAAACAGAAACCAGAGAGATAAGACCATACATTCCTTATCATCTACTTAAAGCAATTAGTACTTGAAGTTGCCTTCATCACTTGGTAAGATAGAAATGATTTGTGAAATAGTAGAACTATTCAGCTTTCATGAGGATACAAAAGGCATGTTTTAAAACAATAGTTATAAACAAATAAAATTGTGACCTTTATGTAGAATTATATTTGAAATTTATTAAGGGATTGATCTGGATTATTATTATAAGTCATTTGCTGAAAAGTTACCCTTCCACATTTGTCTGTAGAAATAGGTTCTTTGTGTTAAATACCTTCTTTTTTTATTTTTTTATTATTTTTTTAGTTTCTATGATTTTTTTTAAGTTTTTATTTAAATTCCAGTTAACATACAGTGTAATATTAGTCTCAGGTGTACAATATTTTGACTCAACACTTCTCTACAACACCCCATGCTCATCACAAGTGCTCTCCTTAATCCCCATCACCTATTTCACCCATCCCCCCACCCACCTCCCCTCTGGTGACCACCAGTTTTTTCTCCATAGTTGAGAGTCTGTTTCTTGGTTTGCCTCTCTACCTTTTTCTTTAGAATTTACATTATCTTTAGTAGTTTATCAGTATCAAAACTTGACCTTTACCCCAAAGTGAAGTTAAAAGTAAATTTGATCATAACATCATTCAGAATCTAAGGTTTAGGTTAGAAACTAATGTCAAAATCAAGTAAGACATACTCAAGCTTAACAATAAAAGCTAAGAGGAAGAAAATGTGCTTCTAAAATAACTTTGGTGGTATTATTACTAACTATTGTGAAAAGAAATCATTCTGTCTGGATGTTTCAATATAATTACCTTTCCCTGTGCCTGTCAGGTCTTGCTTGGCAGTAAGTTGAGTTGGCCTCTCAATTGTAGGGAAGACCCAAGGTAAATAACCGAAGACTTATTAAAGGGTATTAGTGCCTTGCATCACGTGGTTTTTTTTCCTCCTACATTTCACCGAATAGGAAGATGACAAAAAAGAAAAATTTGATGACAGCAGGATCATCTTTGGGTCAATCTTAGTTAATGAAATGCAGAGGGGGAAATAGAGTTGTCATTCATAAAGCTTGAAAAGAAACTAGTCATACTTTTTAAAGAATGAATTTTTATGTTTCTTAAAGTGTACAGAAGAGTTCTAAAAAATTAATAGCATTCTTAATTAACTAATCCTACCTATTTGAATTAAAACTGTTGTAAAAATAAAAGCTAACCACAACACTCATATTTTAAATAATTTTTCATTTAAGAACCTGGATATCAAGTGATACTACATATATTATGAGCTCTAGTTGGTCTTCTTTATGGAATAACCACTATGGATTTCTAAAAATTAGAAAAATTACCATTTCTTATACACCCAAGAACAATTTCTTACAAGTTAAATCTACATGTGAACTATTTAAATAAATATAACATAGCCATTTGCATTTGAGCTGCAACATATAGTTTTCAGTCAGCTCATGATATAAACATTCAATACACATTTGTTCATTGATTAAGCTCTTATGAACCAAGTTTTATTTTAGATTTTTAGATTTTAGTAATATAGGTAACACTCCGGATATACAAAATTAAATTATTGAGTTGAGGATAATTGTTCTGTTTCAGTGATAGCTCATTCTAAAATACGTAGTAAGTATCATAAAACCACCAATATGGGAGATGTTTTGGTAAAATACAGCTAACCAAATAATTTGCCTAGTTAATTCAGAAAAGGATATTTTCTTTTGTTTGCATTTCTCTGGGGAAAAAATTGTTAATTGTGCTGTGAGGTCTTGGCAAGACTGAAGTATTTTTGGGAATCAATGTAAGACTGCCAGAATACAAAAAATAATATCGGCATTGTAGCTCTGCCTATATTCTTGTCTTTTTCTTAGAACTATTTCATGTCTTAGAAAGTTAGGAACAGTATTCAGAATCATTGAATTTGTACAGAGTGAGTTGAGATTTTGTTTCTCAGAATATTTGACTTTTGCTGTTTGAAGAAAGATGGCAGAGATTCAAAACTGCTAAAACAAGCTGCTAGAATAAGACCAGCCATTCCAAATGGACTGTTTAATCTTTTCTTTGGTTGTCAGGGTCAAGTGATAGTTAAAGATTATGGACTGGTCAATCTCCAAATCATGAAGGTGTTCCTTTCTACGTGATAATTTCTCAGTCATTGATTTAGAGCCATAGAATGATACTGATTCTCAGTTGAGTCTTTAATTCACAATTACCAGAACTTTATTTAAATTTATTATTATTATTATTCACAAGTATCAGAGGCTCAGAACACCTTTAATAACATTGTTTTAGTGGGCAAATGTATTTCAGTAATTATATTTCACCTGGGAATGCTAGGAATCATTACCCATACCAAGAGAAAACCATTTCTACAGTGGGGTCACCCATCCACCTCAAACACTAATCTGACCTTTTTGAAAAACTGGATATTATTTGTTGAGCACTTATATTAGATCAGGTACTGTTCCAGCCATTAGGGATAAATTAGTAACCAAAGCAGGCAAAGATCCTTGCCCTTGTGAAGCTCATAGTCTAGCATTTACTTGAGTACTAGTGACACTGAACATTCTCCATATATATATTGACCTAAGGCAGTCTAGGAGAGCTAAAGAGTTTTGAATGACTGGTCTAGATGAACTAGGTGAACTCTACGTTGGAGCTATTCAGATACCATGGTGTTTTCCAAAGAAAAACAAAAGAAGATCAGAACTCCCATTATGTGAAATCTCTCGGGAAGCTGGGATAGTGGTAAACAGGATCTTCAAACTTCCAGTGTTTGCAGTTTGAAACTAGCCTTGACCTAGTCATATGTTCAATTCAGGGGT